CCTTCTTCATAGCTGGGATTACAGGGACTACTACACCCAGCTTGTTCTTTGAGATAGAGTCTTGTTAACTTTTCTTTTGTCCAGACTGGTCTCAAACCATGATCCTTCTATCTCCACCTCCCAAGTAGCTAAAATTAAAGGCATGATGCCTGGCCCTCATTTGAACACCCTATTGCCTCTATATTGTTTTGTGACAGGATCTCAGTATGTAACCCGGGCTGGCCTCAAACTTGTGATCCTCTTGTCTGAGGCTCCCAAGTGCTAGGATTACAGGTGTGCATCACTACCTTCAGTGTGTTGCTTCCATTTTGAACCTAGTTTCTAGTTCTTACTCTATTCTTTATGAAAGTAGGAGCCAGGAATTGAGTCTCTCTCTCTGAATTTCTTTGACCACTGGTGATATAATTTATTTACCTTTTTTGTGTGTTTGCTTCTTCAGTTACAGTATAGTTTAGGCTGACTGAAGGATTTGTAATGAATTGTCTTTATTTCCAAACTAAAATTGTTTTATCTATTTAAAACAAATACTCTACCATGTGTGGTAGCTCACACCTGTAATCCTAGCTATTTGGGAGGCAGAAATCAGGAGAATCCAGGTTTGTGGCCAGCCCAGGCAAAGAGTTAGAGGGACCTCATTTCAACAACAAAAACAGCTAGGTGTAGAATACATACCAGTTATCCCAGCTACATGGGAAGTGTAAGTAGGAGGACTGCAGCCCCAACCAGCCTGGGCGAAAACATGATGACCCCCATCTAAAAAACAACCAAAACCAAAAGGCTTTGTTTTTGCTTTGTGTGGCTCAAGTGGTAGAGGGCCTGCCTAGTAAGCACAAGCCCTAAGTTCAAACCTCAGTACAACAACAAAACAAAACAAACCCCATAGACCATGTTAGTTTTATCATTGCTGTAACCAAATACCTGGTAGAAACAACTTAAGAGGGTGAAGAATTTACCCCTGGTTTTAGAGGTTTCAGTTTATCATGGCAGGGAGGACATGGCAGAGAAGCTCACATCATGGCAGCCAGGAAGCAGAGGGGTGTAGTTAGTAACAGGAAGCAGAGGGGACTAGTAACAGAAAGGGGCCAGGGTAAGATTGGCCCCCAAGGACACATACCAGTGACTTCCTTCCGCCAGGCGGGTCTCACTTTCCACAATTCTACCACCTCCCAATAATTTATTCAAATTTCGAATCTATTAGTGGATTAAACCACTCATTAGGTCACAAGCCTATGAACAGACTGGAGCTGTGGCTCAAGTGGTAGAGCTCTGAGTTCAAACCCTACTACCACCAAAAAGCAAGCCGGAAAAAGAAGAAGCCTATGACTAATGGTCCCTGGAAATGCTCTTACAAACACACCCAGAGGTGTTCTTTATTAATCTGGGTATCTCTCAGTCCAATCAGGATGACATGCAGGATTAACCATCACATACCCAGAACTCTTGGAATTCTGTTTTGTAGATGGAAACATAAAACTGAAACCATGACTGAAGTAAATTAAGGATCTCAGATGAAAGTATGTGCCAGAAATAGACATCTATTTAGTCTTTAAGAAAAGAGCTTTTGAGAACTGAGAGTAACTGTAATGCTCTGCCATCAACAGCATGTAGGACTGTGTGTTTTCCTGATAGAGGGGCTATTGATGGATATGAAATATTTCCATCTCCCTACCTTCCTTGTGTCCTTTTCTAGACAACCTTCCCTCGACACTTGACCACAGGCAACTACTGTTGTAAAACTAATGTAGATTAGTTTTGCATTTTCTATAGCTTCGTATAATTAGAATCACATATTCTTTTATGTCAGGCTTCTTTCATTCAGCATGTGTGAGGTTATCCATTTTGTTGCTTATATTAGTAGATTATTAGCTCATTCCTTTTTATAGCTGTGCAATCTTATTATGGAACTTTTATTATTTTGGCAGTACTGGGGTTTGAACTCAGGGTCTCATGCTTGCTAGGCAGGCGCTCTTACCGCTTGAGCCTCTCCACCAGCCCTTTTTTGTGTTGGGTTTTTTGTTTGTTTGTTTTCTTTTTTGTTGTTGTTGTTGTGTTGGGTTTTTTGAGATAGGGTCTCGTGAACTATTTGCCCAGGTTGGCTCTGAACCTTGATCCTCCTGATCTCTGCCTCCCAAGTAGCTAGTATTACAGGCGTGAGCCACCAGCGGCCAGTTTATTGTACTTTTTAAGACATGTACAAAAGTAAGAAGACTATATGATAAATTCTCACGCACTCATTCATCAGCTTTCCGATTTCATTTCTACACCATCAAAGCAGACATAGTTTGACTAGGATGGGGTAGAGGAAGCCGTAGTGTTTTAAAGCAAATTACAAACTATAGTATTTTACCCATAAACACTTTACTGTGTGTTCCTAATATTTAAAGACTTGAAAAATAAGTACAGTGTCATTATTATATATATATATTTTAACCCCCCAGTGCTGCCCTATTAGAGGTTGAGCCTCCCTAATCCAAAAATCCAGAATCCAAATTACTCTGAAATCTGAAACTTCTTGAGTTTCAGATTTTCAGTTTAGAGATGCTTAGCTGGTGAAATCTATGCAAATATTTCAAAAACTAAAACACTTAGGAACTTTTGTTTGTTTGTTTTTGGTGATGCTGGGGTTGAATTCAAGGCCTCAGGCTTTCTATGCAGGTGCTCTACTACTTGAGCTACACCCCAGCCCTTATTGGTTTGGTTATTTTCGAAATAGGTTATCACTTTATGCCCAGGCCAGCCTGGACTTAGATTTGCTTATTTTCGCTTCCCTAGTAGCTGGAATGACAGGCACGCACCACCACATGCAGCTTTTATTGGTTAAGATGGGGGTCTCACTAACTTTTTGGTTGGGCTGACCTCAAACCTTGATCCTCCCAATCTCAGTCTCCTGAGTAGATAGGATTACTGGCTTGAGCCACTTGCCCTGTCTTTACTTGCTTTTTTAATTTAAAACTCTTCTTGGAATTTTTCTCAGTCATGCATAAAATAAACAAATAAAAATTCCTCCTTTAATAATTTATTCTGTTATGTGATCCTCTTATCTCCCCCTCCTGAGTTGCTGGGGTTTCACCCAGCCCTTCAGCCTGTGTCAGCTAATCCTCAGTCCATGTTTAGTCTCTTCAGTATGTTTTTGTTTGTTTGTTTGTTTTGCTTTTTTTCTCTTCAGTATTTCAAGATGACTTTTTACAGCTGGTTTGTTCAAGTCAGAGTCAAATTTGGTTGATATATCCCTTGTCTGTTTTAATCTGTAGCAGTTTTCTTTCCTCCTCCACTTTTCTTCCATGTGATTTATATGTTACAGAAACTGGATCACTGTACTGTCAGATTTTCAAGTTGCTGAGTTTGGCTGATTATGGCTATGTGTAGTTGTTAATGTGGCTTTATCTCTCCTCCTTCCTCTGAATCAGTAGGGAGATGTAGAAACTTGATCGTTTTCTTCCTTTGTTTTTCCTTCTCATATGCATAGCTGTTGCCTGAGATCAGATCCATAACCTATTTTTACCTTGACCACTCGTCATCTCAAGGGTTACTTTCCCTCCAGTCTCACCTGTATTCTCCAGACTTCAGACTGGTTCCAGAGTGGTGTTTCTAAAAGTAAAAATGCAGTTCTCCTAATCATCTGTTTAAAATATTTCATTGAAAGCTGTTGAATAATGGGAGGTGGGAGGGAAGGGGTAAGGAAGAGTAATGGAAGGGGTTGAATTGATCAAAGTAAAGTGTACTCATAACAGGGATACATGGAAAAACCCCTTTGAACATTGAATTTGGGATTAATAATGGAAGGCAGGACTGTAAAATAGGTGTAGTGCGAGGGGCTGGGGGAGAGGAGATACTTATAGGGGCCGGGCGAATGGAAGAAATGAAGGTGAGGGAATATGGTTGATGGGCTTCATATACATGTGAAACAGAATGATAAAACCTCTTGTAATTGCTTTAAATGGGGCAAGGAAGGGATCGTTGGGGAAGATGGTGGGGGCAATCTAACCAATGTACAATGTAAGCCTATTTGGATTTGTCGCCATGAATCCTTCCTCCCATGCAACAAATATATCCTAATAAAAATGGAAAAAAAACATTTCATTAATTCCTTCTATCCCATAGGAAAAAAAGTCTTAAGTTTCTGTGGCATATGTACTTCATCATGATCTGGTCCCTTGTTCATGTTTGCAGCAGCAAATCCACTCGTATGCACTTTTTAAAAATCCCATTCATTTATTCAGTCAACATTTTGAAAATGCCAAATGTGTAGCACCTATTCCCCTAGTTTCTAGTATGTTACTCAGCCCTTCCAGGTGATCTCTGGGGATACCTGGTCCTATCCCATGCAGTGTAACTTTTAATCTGAGACCCAAAGTTAGGATTTGAGAGCTTAAATGGGCCCACCTATGGGAGCATGACATTGGAGATAGTGCTATTAGGAGATAAGGACAAATGGGAGCCGCCAGGACAGTCACCTGGGCAGGTAGACCTGGGTGAATGAAAAGAACACATAAACTGTCTGCTCTAGGAATTCTAAATAAAGAACTCATTCATTGAGTCCTTTTCATGGAGTATTATGGACAGAATTTGGGCCAGGGCTTGAGGCACTAGGTTCAGTCCCCAGTTCTGCAAAAACAAACACTCCCCACCCCCCCCCAAAAAAAAAACGGGCAAAGCTTGTAACATCCAGGGGTCAGCCTGCTGTCAATGTTGAGGTCACTTTTTTTTCATTTTTATTAGCATATATTCATTGTACGGGGGATTTGTTGTAACGATTCTAAATAACCTTACATTGTACGTTGATTAGATCGCCTCCACCATCTCTCCCCCTTGACCCCCTCCCCACCACATTAGCAAGAGTTGAGGGCACGTCTCCTTCAGCTACAAGTTGTCCCTTTTGGCAAAACATTGGTGCAGCAGATCATAATATCACTCTCAGTCTATGCCCTGTTATATATTCTTTTACGTTGTTGTGTTGTAGGCTGTGTTGGTAATTTTAAAACATATGCTTTGTCTTATAGACCATCATAATGAATGACTGTATTATCCGCGGAGATCTGGCAAATGTAAGAGTTGGACGCCATTGTGTTGTGAAAAGTCGTAGTGTCATAAGGCCACCATTCAAGAAATTCAGCAAAGGGTATGTAATTTAATGACCTTTTCCTATCCTGGGCAAGATGCTGCCACTGGTGGCATTGTGCATGTATTGAGTTATGTACTGAGCAGGTCCATCCTGCTATCGGGGAAACTGAGTCAGAGGTCATCATAAGGAACACAGCTCTGGTAGTGGTTATCTTAATCTGTTTGGTGCTTGGTTGCCAGAAACAGAATCTGTCTAAGCTGGAAAGAGCAAAGGGGTTCTCATTTAACACACAGAGGCATATTTAATGGAACCTAAGAGTTCAAAAACTCTTTCATAGCAAGAGTACAAAACCTGCAACTGGTTAGCTAGCCACAATTAAGACACCCATTCCGTCTGTCCCTCTGCATCTGCAGATGTACTGTTCCTTCTTTTCTGTAGGAAGCATAGGAGGAGGATCACAGTTTGAAGCCAGCCCAGGTTAAAAGCACAAAACCCTAGCTGAAGAATAATTAAAGCAAAAAGGGCCGGAGGTATGCCTCAAATAGTAGAGCACTGACATGGCAAGCACAAGGACCTGAGTTTAAGCCTGGTACTGCCTCCAAAAAAACAAACAAGATTTCTGATTTTGAGCTAGTGATCTCATTCATCACCTTCAACATTATAGAATTTCTGTGGCCTGGGAATTCTTTCCTTGCCTGGAATAGACTCACTAAGACAAGATGAAGTTGTTGAGATGATGATCTATGGTTCTATAAACATTGACCCAGAGTACATCACCTTGACCTTTCTTTGTTCATCTTCTTTCTCTAGTGTTGCATTCTTTCCTTTGCATATTGGGGACCACGTCTTTATTGAGGAAGATTGTGTGGTCAATGCTGCTCAGATTGGGTCTTATGTCCACGTTGGCAAGAACTGTGTGATTGTGAGTATGATGAGCTGGCCAACTAAGCACCTCATTTCCCCTTTCCCTCCCACCCCCAGCTCTTAGCAGTTCTGTGACCAAGTCAGGCCGAGTAGTCTCTAGTCCTTCTGAGGCTGGGACTTTCTTACTGGATTTGGAGTGTTTTCCAGGTATTCATAGTAACACCTAGCCTTTCTAGAACATCTTCTACATGATGCTAAACCCTTTTTTTCACTTGCTTCATTTAATCCTCACAACCACCCATGGCATTAGGTGCTGTTGTCATCCCTGTTTGCAGATAAAGAGGGCTGAGGACCACAGACATTGAGACATTTGACAAAACTCGTTAAGTGGCAGAGCTAGATTTTAATACAGGCAGTATGAGCAGCTGCACAGCTGTGGACCACTTGTTAATTACAGTCCAGTGCTGGAGGGGATCTGAGGGGCAAGTTGACACTGGCACTGTAGATGAGGGGAGTTTGGGTACTTCAGAAAAGGGATTGGTGTGTGAAAGTGTCACAGGGACTGCAAGGCGCACAGGGTACCAATAGGCCCTCACAATGCCTGTAGGAACCTAGGTCATTGGAATGTAAGAATCCATTTGTTTCATCCAACCAAGGTTTGGGTTTCTTGTCTCATAGGCAGAAAGCTTGATTTCTAAGAACCAAGTGGGTGAGATGTTAATGAACAGAGCTGATGCCAGGTGTTAAGGGAAGATGTTTCCTACATTTTAGATGTGTACCTCAGAGTAGCTTCCAGGAAAAGCAAAGTCCATTCTCTTTCTTTAGTGGCCATTCCCATGAATACAGAGCCAGATCTTTGCCTTGTATAAGATTCAGACTCCAGAGTATCAAAACAAACTTGCAGAAACCATAGCGTTCACAGTTCATGTTCCAGAAACCAAAGGGCACAGCACAGGTGGGCAGCGATGGAGAATCGGGGCTGGGAAAACATTCCAATCTGACATTCTATTCAGAATTAAGGGAAGTGGTTGTTCTGCCCGTGATTCTTGCTCCAGAGGAGTTCCTTGTATGTGTAGAGACAGAAAGTCTGGTTCAGCCTGATGTTGAAGAAAGCGGAAAGAAAGAGTTGAACTCAGAGTAGAAGAAAGAAGAAGAGTGGTTATTACTGAGCAGGAAGGGAAAGAGGAGAGGCTAGAAAGAGGTTATATGGTGAGTACTAAAACACAGTTCCAAGTCATGCCTGTAATCCTGGCTACTCAGGAGTCAGAGATCAGGAGGTTCATGGTTCAAAGCCAGCCTAGGCAAATGAAAGTGAGCCCTGTCTTGAAAATACCCAACACAAAAATGGGCTGGCAAAGTGGCTCAAGAGGTATATGACTGCCTCACAAGTGTGACACCTGAGCTCAAACCCCAATACTGCCCAAAAAAATGGAAATAAAATAGAGTTCCAGAGGAGGGAGGAAGTTGTTTCTTCAGCACAGTGGTGTGACTGTGGTTCGCAGCCACTTACTCTTCAGCCAGAGACAGTGTAGTCAGCCCCTTAAGAAACTCAGACCTTGAAGGTATAAGCCTTTTAAAAATTCATTTGTTAATCTTTCTCCTCCTAGAAATACAGATGATTTGGATATTTAATAATGTGAATGCAAGCACATCAAAGTATGTTGTATCGTGTTTTTGATAGAATCTTAGTTGAAGCTAGGTTATCCTGGTATGTATTAAAATTTCCACATTCTCGCCAGGTGCTTTTGGCTCACAGTATGATCCTAGCTGCTCAGGAGGCAGAGATCAGGTAGATCACGGTTCCAACCCAGCCCAGGCAAATGGTTCATGAGACTGTGTCTTGAAAAATAAAAATAAGGGCTGGTGGAGTGGCTTAAGGTATAAACCCTGAGTTCAATCTCCAGTACCACAAGAAAATAAATAAAATAAAATTTCCGCATTCTCAGTCAGGTGTATTTGATCACATTTTTACCAGAACACCGGTGACTTACAGGTTGTGGTGATAGAAGCATGGCTAGTAAAGATCAAAACTTTCTTCACTCAGTGAGCAGTCTGAGGCGCAGCATCAGCTTCTACCCAAGCCTCCTCTGCTTTAGCCACTAGCTAGGTGAGTCTCCCACACCTGGCTTCTTGCCCTCAAGATGCTGTGGACCAGTGGTAGAACTGGAAAACAGTAACTAAGTGGAGAGAGGCAAGTGTCAGGTTCAGCCTAAACATTCACATAACTGTTGCTTTCCCCGGGAGAACAAATGAACTAACACCTTCAAATGAACTTGTCATGAATGATCCAGGGGACTGACAAGAGCAAATAAGCCTTAAACTTATAGGTGAGCAATGGAGTGCATCCAGAATTACAGCCTCATTCTGTGCTTGGGGGCGAGTCTTCTTCCTCCCTTCCTCTTTCCTCTGGGCGGCTCACTGACAGACAGGTTCTTCCTTCATGGGCAGAGCTCCAAGCTCTGTGCATCCTCCAACCCCAGGGGAAAGGGCTGCTTTTCCAGGCGTTCCAACAAAAGCCTAGGTTGAGGTTCAGTAAACCTGGGCTGGTTCCTATGCCTGTTCCCTAAACCTATCACTGTGGTCAGGCTTGAAGTTTGTGTGGGGGCCTGCACATGGACTGAGGTAGGTATACTCTTGGTTCCCAAGGACAGTGGAGGTTCTGTTACTGGAAGAAAGGGAGCAAAACAACAGATGTCCACTTCTTGGAAAACCATAGTTTGCATAGTCTTGAATGCTTGAGGTAACTTATACTGTCCCTTGCATATAACCCTGTCCCGAAACGTACGTACGTACACACACACACACACACACACACACACTCTTGCATATCCCTTTCTCCTTTTTTTTTTTTTTCCTTTTTGTTTTTTTTGTGTGCATGTGTGATTATGGGTTTGAACTTAGCCTTGCACTTACTAGGCAGCCACTCTTATCATTTGAGCCATGCCCCTAGCCTTCTTCTCCTTGTCAGTTCCACCTGAAGTAGTTAATTGCCACCAAGCCTCTTGTCACTCTTCCTGGCTATTATATGATATCACAAATGAAGAAAATATAAAATACAGCCTTCCACACAGTATACTAGACAACCTTTTTACTCCATGCCCTGGTCTCTCCTATTTGAATTTCAGGGACGCCGGTGTGTGTTGAAAGACTGCTGCAAAATTCTTGACAACACAGTATTACCTCCAGAAACTGTGGTCCCACCATTCACTGTCTTCTCAGGCTGCCCAGGTAACCGTGGTATTGTTTTTTTTATTTTAAACTCCTTAAAACTCGGTTTTATTTTCTATCACAAAAATATTGCATGTAACTTCTGATTCTGATAATTCATTGATTTAGTGAACTTAAAAATTCTCTAGTTACAGAGTACCTAAAAAGCTATCTGAAATATGACCAGCTTCTTTTTAAAATGCATAATTGGGTTCTTAAGAAAATAAGGAAATTATCCAGGGTCAAAAACAGAGAAAACTAACCCAAGCTGTGAGATTGCGAGGCCGTTGACTTCATAGTAGTGGTTTAGGATACAGTACTTACGAGGGACAGGAGCTTAAACCTTGGATCTACACATGGCAGAGAGGCCCTCACACACCCTTGAAGGACTTTCCCTCCAGGGAAGACTGATGTAGAATAGAGCTACAAGCAGTAATGGGAAGTACAGAGAACCTGGGCTCTGGCAGGTTTGAATTTATACTTCTAGGATGGTCAGGAATCCACAGACTGACAAATTAGCATGAAACATGGTCATGTTTCTTTTATATGGCTTCACAGATAAATGCACTATTGGCAGTCTCCTTCTTCCAATCCGGAGACATAGGGGTGTAGGAAACTGGCACTTTTTTGGGGGGCTACACAGGATGAAACTGAGACATAGGACAAAAGGAAGGGGAACTCATGCAGGAAGAATGTGGGTTAGAAGCCAAGAGATGAGAGGCTGCAGGAGCCAGGCAGGTTGTACAGTGCCCGAAAGCCTAGACTGTTATCACTGCTGTTACACAACCTGATGTTAGGAGATTGTCTAGCATTGTATGAGGAGCTGAAATAGGAGTTTTTAGATCTCATCTTGGAGTTTAAAAAAAAGATTAAATACTGTACCAATCAAACATGTTTGCAAGTCTATCATTGCCTGATAATTTCAGGGTGCCTTGTCAGAATTTTGAATTTTGTAAATCTCTATTTTTCTATCCTGTCTGTTGTCTTATATATTTATATATTCTCACAGTGCATGTGTTTGTGTATAGATATATATGAATATATGTGTATATTTATTTATATATAATATAGATATGTAAAACTATTTATTGTGGTACCGGGGTTTCAACTCAGAGCTTCATGCTTGCTAGGCAGGTGCTCTACCACCTGAGTCACGTCCCCAGTCCATCTTATTCCTTTCAAGGGCTACAGGTTTTTCACTGCATGGATGTATAATGATATATTTAACCAGTTCCCTACTATAATGGATTGTTAGAAGTTTTACCTGGTGCCCAGGTGTGCCTGGGATCATGCCTATAATCCTAGCTATTCAAGAGGTAGAGATAGGGAGGATCACAGTTCAGGGTTAGCCTAGGCAAAAAGTTAGCCAGACCCCATCTCAACAAACAAGCCAAGCATGGTAGATCATGCCTGTAATCCCAGCTATGTGGAAGGCATAGGTAGGAGGAGCAAAGTACTAGTCAGGCTCCAAATAAAAGTGCAAGACCCCATGTGAAAAATAAGTAAAAGCAAAAAGGGTTGAGGGGTATAGCTCAAGCGATAGGGTGCTTGCATAGCAAGTATGAGGGCATATGAGTTCAAACCCCAGTATCAGAAAAGAAGGAAAGAAATTAATTGTATCTGGTTTTTCGCTATTAATTAGAACCTGTGCTACATTGACACTCTTGTACATGTATTTACGATGGAGGACAATTATCTCTGGGATACATTCTTAGATCTTGGATTATCCAACCACAGAGAATGAACTTTGAAAGTTTTGCAAGCCATTTATTTCTAAAGTGCCCTTCAAAACGGTTGTATGAGTGTACACAGTGCCTGAGAGTGCCTCTTTCCCCAGACCTTCCTAATTATAACTACGCTTGCTCCATCGTTTGTCTTCTGTGGAGCCCTTCTGTTGTCCTCCCCTCCCTGATTTATCTGTCTCTAGAGTAGTTGGTTTAGTTTCATTGTACAGCAGATAGTCTCACCTCAAGGGTGAGGTAGGGCTGGTACAGTGGGGCTCAGAACAGGGTCCTGGGGTGGACAGGTTCTTGTCTGGGACAACCTCTGAAGCATTCAGAGGGGTCTTAACTCTTCAGATCTTGCAGTAATGTCTTGATCTCTTCTACCTGGAATGTGGAGAATTACAGTGTTGTTTCCCACACACAAATTCACATTGTCTAGAAGACATGATCAGAAGATTCTGTCAGTCCTAAAGATGGGAAACCTAGCATTTAGACACTGACATGAGAGGAAAGGGTCTTGGGTGTGAACAGGAGCTAGAGCTGTTCGTTGCTGGGCCCCTGTTGACCAGGTCTCTCTTTCCCCAGGGCTCTTCTCAGGGGAGCTCCCGGAGTGTACTCAGGAGCTGATGATCGACGTCACCAAGAGCTACTATCAGAAGTTTTTGCCACTGACACAAGTCTAGTGCTTCTGCCTTGTGTCTTGAATTCACTTGAGCTGGAAGATGAACTTGGGAACAAAGTGAGCAGTCATTATGTACAGGAACTCTTGTGTCTTTGCCATCTTCTGCCCACCTTGTTTTTAATTTAGAACTTTCACTCCTTCAAGGCTCTTGGTGCTGCAGGAGTTCCCTGAGAACATCTGGAGGAGTCATCTTCACACTGTGTGCACACCTTATCTATCAGAGACCACTTCATACCATTATCTGTGGAACACAGAATCATCCAGCCCCGCGGCCCCCAGGTGCTGAACCTGGCTGAAATGGGCCTGCCAAACAGCGGCACTCCTGCACAGAGGCCGCGTGGCTGGGTGCTGCTCACAGCCATGCACTACACCCGCTGCACGCACTTATACAGACCACTCTCACTTCTCTACTGCTCATACATTTGGCAGTGGCTGTAATTGCTCTTAATCCCAGGGAAGAGTGTGACTTCAGAGTTCATATTCCTATTGGCTATTAAAAATCAAAGGGCAGGATGATTAGTGTTTCTCTTCTTCCCAAAATGACCTTAACTGCCACAAATGGTTAATAAAAGACATTCTAGAATTCTGTACTAGGGCCTCTGGCTTTCACCAAAACAGGAAATCTCCATATCCCAGATTTTACTTGAAAGTTCCAGGTTCAAGTCTCCCATGTGGGTGGATTTGTAAGGTAATCCCTTCTTACCTCAAGTTATTTGTCTTATTTTATCAGATACAAAAGCACTTATAAATACATGCTGTCTGGCCTGGAACTGTTCAACCCACCCCATCTTTGCTCAAAACCCTACAGTTAAAAACCAGGCCCTGGTGGCTCACTCCTGTAATCATAGCTACTCAGGAGGCAGAGATCAGGAGGATCGCAATTCAAAGCCAGCCCAGGCAAATAGTTTGTGAGACCCTATCCCGAAAAAATCCCATCACAAAAATAGGGCTGGTGGAGTGGCTCAGGGTGTAGGCCCTGAGTTCAAACCCCAGTACCACACACAAAAAAACCCCAAAATACAGACCAGAATGTCTGTATTTGAACCCAATCATATTTATGTACCAGGGATCCTTAAAATCTTATGACACAGAGCCACAGAGTAAGTGACATTGCTGGGATCATTCCTACCTTCTCCCCTGGCTGATGTCACAGCCCTTCTGATTTGCTCCCACCTCTGGGTGCAACAGGGAGATTTAGAAAGAGGGTCTGAGGAGCTTGGCCTGCTCAGGGCTCTGGTCAGCTGGAGGTGAACTGGGCAGAGCCACTCAGCCATGAAGGTGAACACCCAGCAGGAGCCATCTTGGCTTTTCAGCTAGGTGCCAGCTTTGCAGAAGCAGCTGTGTGGAACCATCTCCACTATTCAATTTAAAGCAACTCTGCTTTGTCACTTTCTTGTTTGTGCATTGAAAGATCAACACATGGAGCTTGTCATTTGCAGGTGATCTCTTGTCACCTCCGGTGGTGGCTGCTGCTGTTTCTCAGGCACCTCACTGCATGCCCACTTCTGTGCTGCAGCTTTCTGTTCACATTAACTCTGCAAAGTGGGTGTTACTTCCATTTTACAATGAGAAAAACCCTCAAACGGCAGTGACAACTTGGTCCAATCCATATGATGAGGAAGAGGCTGACCTAAGTCCCACATCTGTTCAACTGCATGGCCTGTGCACCTCAGCTCGGCCCGGACAAGCTTAGCCTGGAGTGCATCCTCTGTGGGTCCTGTCTGGTACCAGCAGTCTTGATGATTGCAGTTTTTCGTGGTCATGCAGGCATTTTCCCCAGGTCCTTTGTCCTTTTGTGCCACCAGAGAGGTGAATCTTGAAGTTGGCAAAGTTGGATGCCCTCTGGCTGATGACAAATCTTCCAGGGCATGTGTGAGAGATTCCCTTCCAACTTGGGTTGGAGCATCTCTAAAAGGGAGCTTGCCACCTGGTGCAACCGACTGTCCATTTGCTTGGTAAACAACTGAAATTAAAAAGCACATTTTTTGAGCCTTTTAGGACATAATTTTAAAAATCTTTAAATATTTCAAGCATATTTAAAAAATCCAACCCAGTTAATATAGAAGAGAGATACAGTGAAGTAGATCTCAGTCCAGAATCCCATTTCATCTGTGTCCAGAAGCCAGCCTGTCTGGAGTTTTTGTACTGAGTGACGAGGGAAGCTGTGCTTGCACAAGCAGATATAGATGTGTATGCCGACTCTTCATTCATATGCTGAGAACACACTGCACGAGCTTTTCTATGCCTTGCTCTTGTTATATCAGAGATTGCTCCATATTGGCACTGATGGGTGATTTTAAAAACAGCAGTCACTAACATTTGTAGAATGTTTACCATGTACCAGGTACTCTCCTGAGTTCTTCATTTTTTGTTCTTTTTCTTTTTTGACACAATTCTCAAAAAAGGCCCAGGCTGGCCTCAGACTCACAATCTTCTACTTCCTGAGTGCTGGGATTATAGGTGTGTTTTACCACACCTGGCAATTTGTCACATTTAAAAATTCCTTTAATCCCCTTCACAATTAACCATGAGATAGGTATTTATGATCCCCAAGGAACCAGGGGTTAGGTAAATTGCCAAATTTATACAACTGAAGTGACAGTGAATCCAGGTATTTGGGCTCTGGAGTCTGTGCTTTTAACCATTGTGTTGGAATCCCTCTGTCTTAAAATACCTTTCATTGCCCCAGATTGTGTATTTGGCCATCCCTGGCTACACAGGAAGCCAAGAAAGTGAGTACTTGGCTTTTTCAGGCAGACAAGAAAAAGGGGTTTGGTGAACTATCTAACAATGTCTGCCATAGTCAGGAAGGCTAGTGTCCCCTCTGAGATGTGTCATTGTAGTTTATCCTGTTGTGTTGTAGCTACTGTTATGGTCTGACAGTTTCTCCTGGGATAATTGTATTTCTTACAGTCATTCAATGGTGTATTAAAATTTTGTACCATGTGTGAGGCCCTGAGTTTAAACCCCAGTGCCAAAAAAAAAATCATGCCGTGTGGTTGGCAGTCTGTAGAAGAATGTGGAAACTAGATATGAAATCCGTTAGAATGGTTTGTTGCAAGTGACAGAAATCCACCTGAACCAGTAAGGCAAAAAGGGGGATTTTAGTTCTGTGCAGTGATGTGTGCCTGCAATCCCAGCTAGTCAGGTGGTAAGATCATGAGTTCAAGACCAGCTTGAGCAACACAGTATTATGTGAATTTGGGCAACTTCATCTCTCTGTGCCCCAGTTTCCTAAACTGTAGAGCAGGAGTAACAGCACCTTGGAAAGTTGGAGAGGGTTAAATGAAGGGCTGTGTGAGCATTAAGGACAGTTCTTGGGCTTAGAAAGCACTCTACAAGTAGTAACTTATTATTGCAGGGACAGCTGTATCCCAGGATGCACCACCCTATCATGGGTGATTTTTTGTTTTGTTTTTGTTTTAAAAAAACATCTTTCCATCTGCACATTAGCAAAGGGACAGACTAGACCACTGTAGCAAAGAGCCCACCAAAATACAGTACCCCAGGCAAAGCAGATGTTCATTTCTCTCACTTAACAGTGCAGAGACTTCAGGTGGGTCAGAGCAGGTCAGTGGCTGGACTCCATGATGTCATCAGGCACCCCGATTCCTATTGTCACATGGGTACATTTAGATAAAGAGAGGCTATAAATTTGCTCTGGTTGGGCAGCCAAGCTGAGGAAGGAGGTTCTGATAGTTCAAAGGAGAGGGGGATTTGGGAGGCAGCAGACTCGAGCAGACCTTTGTTTTGGCTCCTTCTATAGCAAGTGGGCTTTCTCTGTGCAGTGGGGACATGACAGCTTACAGCTTGACGTGCATCCAAAGGAACGTTTCTCCCTTCTCGTTTTAGTCTGGCAAATCCCAAAGAAAGTGTTCAGTGGTTTGTGGTGAGTTCCTTGATCGGTCACTGTGACCAGCATGTTTGGCCCTATGATTAACCCAATCTGAGTCGTGACCCTTCCTCCACCTCCCATGGTGGGGAAATCAGTTCATTACTGAAACAAGGGATTGGAAAGTCAAAACCAGAATCTGCTACAAACAGTAGGGTCTGTAATTATGTACTGATGTGTTTGGAAGTGTGATAACGGTTGAGTGTGTAACCTAGGAAAGGCTAGCTGGACTCTGTCTCCATAGTGGCTCTGACCCCAGAGACAGTCTGTCACCAGGAAATTACAACCCCAGAAAAGAGAGTCGCTTTGTCCTTAGAGGACTCCCAGAAGAGAAGACAGATGGGAAAGACCTTGACCAGGGCTCTTCGTAGTGGCTTAGGGAACAGGGGAATTTATTGGCTCACAGAGCAGAGAAGACCAGGGCTAGATTGGGCTCCAGGCTGCATCCCAGGACTCAAAACAGTGTCTTCAGTCACCTCTGCTTTCCTTTGGTTAAACCCTATTTTCAGGCTCCATAGTGTGACACCCGCCCCACCCCACACACGTCCAGTTATTGGTGGAAAGGGCTTCTCTTGCTGACATACTCCTGGATTTGGTTCTCACTGGCCAAAATAGAGGAGTATACCATCTCAAGGCATCATTGCGGCCAGAAAGATGAAATAGAGTTGGTCTCAGTGTGTACCACATGGGCTGAGAGTTGGTGCCTGGGGTTCGTGGTGTGGTGACATCACCTGAAGAGGGGATGAATGGGTCTGGATGGGAAACATCACCAGGGCCCCATGCAGATCACTTCCTTTACCCCGGATGTTTTCGCTTTCCCCTCTCCTGTCTACCCTCACCCCTGCCAGTGTCTCATGCCTCTTGGTCCTGGGAAGTACCTTCTGAGAGTACTCCTGAAGGGGTACCTGGGTCAGAAATTAGGGAGCAGAGGGAGACCATTGCTTAGCTAAAGTGGGTGTTCAACCTTTGGAGGATAATCATCTGTCTGGGGGCTTCCTTGTGGTCCCCATATGGAGGGGTCCTTGGCATGGCTAGGGAGAAGTCTAGTTTGTGCCATGTTCTTGTCTGAGCCCACGTGATCTCTGAGGAGTTAAGTGTGCGCCTGTAGGTTATCCAGCATGGATTCAGTGCGTGATCACCTGACTGGGAGCCCCTCCCTTCCAGCCCCTCTTCTGCCCCAGGTCAGCATCAGATCTCAGGGTCCCTGGGGCAGGAGACAAGGCTGACTTGTGAGGTCCTGTTGACCAATTCTGTTTTACTTGGCTGCATGTAGTCGTTATGGTTGTTTGAGATGGGTGGTGCTTCTGAATTAGTCACTCTGCATCGACCAACTCACTTAGGACCTGAGGCCACAGTTTCTTAGTCACTGACCATCTGACTTGAATTAATCAGACAAAATACTGTTCCTGTTTAGCATATCCTCAGAAGTTTCTCTACTGTAAACAAGGGGTTTTGGTGGCCTGGGAGGGCTTTGTTGGTATCCTGCTCTGGTCATTGAGAGCCCAGAGGGTGTCCCCAGCCAGGCTCTAGCTGGCTCTGCCATTCTCCAGGACCCAGTGGCATCTAACCAGCTGATGGTTGCTGTGGGTGATCAGATCAGCTGGCTGACCTCCTGGGGCAGCTTCTGTGGAGCAACCTGCAAGGCCCTTGACATGGTACTAGCAGTGTGTGTTGGGACCGACTCCTTCAGAACTGGTCTCAGCAAAATGTCCTTCCACTTTGGACAAGTCCCCACAAGTCCATTATCACAGGGACACTTTCAGACCCTCAGCAATGACATCGTGTTGTTGTTGTTTTGCTATATTAGGGTTTGAACTCAGGACCTCACACTTACAGGCAGGTGCTGTACCACCAGAACCACACTGCAGCCCAGCATTGTGATTTTCATAGAACATGTTGCCCTTTAGCCT